TCCCTGCGTCCCCAATTCAACAGGTTATAATGCGCGTCGGTGACATCCTGATAGGTCGTCCTAAATGTTGCATGCTGGCTCATCGCTATGCTAGTTTGCCCATGCAGTGAGCACGGTGAGGCTTGTGCTACATGGCTAAATGAACGATACCAAAATACAGCTTTCCGTACCCTGTGTCATAGCACTCTAACTCTGGTTGGCCAATGCTAATAAATGGGAAAAGCTTTCTATAACCCTGAGTCAATAGACTCTAACCTGGTGGCAAACTACATAACCGATGGTGGCTTTCCCATACCCTCGTTGCACCAGACTCTATCTGAGTGGCAATGCAACCTAGGGAGGCTTTCTATAGCCCTAGTGTCAGCGACCTACCCCTAGGTGGCAATAGCTATAAACGGGAACGCTACTCGGGTACCCTGAGTGCGCAACCTATAAAGCCTAGTGGCAAAGTTCCACACTCGTATGGGTAGCATTCCCGCCTCTGTGTTACAAACTCACATCTACATGTTGTCAGGTGTAACCAGCTAGGATGAATGGGACAGCAACGATCACTTATGACCTGACAAAACACGGCATATGTCTTTCTCACGACTCAGCACGCGACAGGCCAGAATCTTTTACCTCGCCACCCGGATCAGTCAATATTGACCATCGTAATACTCTGACGCAATCGTAATGGCGTTTTTGCTGCGAGGCGTCTCACACAGGGACCCGCAACTGGCATTTCGCGCCACAAAAGCCCGGCGTGGTTAGTTCTTCGGACTTTCTACAGGGGGACTCTCTGAGAAAACAGCGCAATATTCCCACACTTATAGGATTTCAGAGCTCGACGGGAAACGGCACTAGTTACAATGCAGTGTTTTCAAACTAGTCAGGCAGAACGGTCCCCACATTGGTGATCGTATAGAATGGCCTGAAACCACAGTCGGCGATTTGTCACCTCATAAATGAACCATAACTGAGAGGCACAGTCTCAACGGGGCCAATAAGGCGTAGTGCATATACCAATAACATTGGTGCCTTTCATCCAACCAATAAAGACCGTTTTTCATCAACCCTCAGACAGTCTTTAGCTTCAACGCGCTAAAGCTCAAGAGATTCAGCTTCTCCCTACTTCGATTGTAACAACTCATGGTGAGCGCGGGGTTTTGCTCGAACCGGACGGGTGGGCGGTCGTGTGCTGCAAATTCCCTGTCTCGGCTCGTAGCCAGCCACATAGTCACCACTGGGTACACAGCAGCGACGCTAGGCGGCGGACCACGGTGTGCCGCACACGTGAGAGATGTCCTAATGGTAATGCTCAGACAAATTCTTAGTTTGTTCGAAGGGAAGCGGGGATTGTGGTGATTGTCGTATAGTGCCCAGCAATTAGATCTATATAGGAGATATCGGCAAGTCGGCGCTAATCAGTGGAAAGTACAGATATAATGAATTTATAGTAAGGGAGTGGATATTGTAGATTTATATTCGTCAATCCAATAAGCTGTTAGTAACGGGCTGGTTTTTCTCTCCCTCGGTCCCTTGCCCTCGGGCACTCGGCATCACTGCTATCCTGTAACACGACCCGTCGCTGTACATCGCGCTCTGCTGGTCGTGTGTTCTGCAACCGCTGTGCGTCGCTCGCGCGTTAAGACTCACGAGAAATGGCTTCCGAGGCGCTTACGTTTGCGCCCGCCAGCGTTCCGCAGACGACACCGCTCAGAGATTGCAATAACTGATTTCACGAATGCATGGTCAGTAGGTGGGCGGCGGCGTGCCCCACACGCGCGAGGGGGCAAAACCTTTAGGTTTTAAGGAGAAATCTTCTTGCAGACGACAGAAAATGGCAAGCGACGTCGGCGCGCACCTAATCCGCGCGGCGCGTGTTAGTTCCGCCGACGCTGTGCGATACAACGTTTCGCACGCAAATCTTGCAATGCCCGCAGTAGCTTTTATATCGGTTTACTAGAGCTGCATGCGCAGTAGCTCTAGAAACTATTGCCCTTGCACAGGGGCCTGTGGGC